CTGCGCGGGCGGAGGGCGCCCCCGCCGCCTGGTCGCGCCCCCCGCGCCGGTCACGGGCCGGGCGGGGGCGACAGCGCGGCCGCGGCGACGCGCGGGGGCGGCCGGCAGCAGGGGCGGGGGTTTGCGAGGGCTCCCATTGGCCCGGCGGGGCGCGGGAGGGGCTCCGGGGGCGGCTTTAAAAGAGAGCGCGGAGGGCGGCGGAAAGGCGATACCGGCGCGGCCGGGCGGCGCGGGGCGCGTGCTCCGGTGCTCGCGGCTTCCCTTCGCGCGGGGCTGCGCCGTCTCACGCTCCCCTCCGCTTCGCCCTCCTCCGCTTCTCCTCCTCCCCACCCCTAGCGCGGGCGGGGGGCTTCCGGGAGGGGGCTCCTCCCGCTAACCACGAAAGGCCCCTTCTCTCCAGGGCGGATTTCTGCTGGCGGCGGCGGCGTCCCCGCGCGAATGAGGCCGGGCGAGAGCCACGTGGGGAGCGCCCCGGTTTCGCGGCCCCCCTCCCTTTCTTTCCCTTCTGCCTCAGTTTCCCCCTCTCTCCTACTCCTCCCTCCTGCCATCACTGCCTCCACACCTCGAAGTGTGGCGGGAGGGGGGGGTCCAACCACCCACATTTGGTGACCGCCAGAGCACTGAAAATGCACGGAGCGTCTTCGTGGTGCACAGAACCAGGCTGCAGCTGGGCGGCCTCGGCAAGAGATGCCAGATATTCCAAGATGGCTCAAAGCAGCCCGATAAAAGCACAATGCACCTCCTTGTGCGCATGAATCGCGATGCAGAGGAAGCCCCCACCCCCGGCCCCTCCAGCTCAGTGCCGCCTGCTCCAGCCGTGAGGAGCCTCTTCCCACCGGCAGGCCGGGCGGGTATCGGAGGCTCGGGTGGCTCCGTTCCACTGAGGGAGGCCGACACCCCCTCTCCGTTTCAGGGCACCTGCTGCTAGGAACCAAAACCAGCTGCTCCTGTCTCCCCGTATCTCTCCTCCAGACCTGTGAGGTTTGTCAGTAGCGGCGTAGGCGCCAAACAGGCACAAGTTCCGTGAGTGGCTGGCGCAGGCCTTTCCCTGGTCAAAAGCACCGTGCTGAGCAGCCGAGCCAGGCCGCTGCACGGTGCGCCAGGCCCTGGCCTCCCCCCACGGCGGGCTCTGTGGAGATGGAGCAGTCCCAGAGTCCCTCGCACATGGCAGGTAGAAAAGGGCCCCAAGGACCCAGGACGCTGGTCCCAGACCCCACTGGCTGCCTGGCTGCAGAGACAGAGACCTCGTGATTCCGGGAGGGAAAGAGGTCAGACCAATGCAGCTTTGCAGGGTTGAATCCCTCTTGGCCCGTCCAGACATGGTCAGGCTGATATCTTTCTCAGGGCCAGCGCAAAAGTTGCCTCAGAGCAGGGCTTTGCAGGACGTTGTCAGGCTGAATCCTGCATGCAGCAAAATGAGCCCACGGGCTTGGCTGGGGCTGGGGCTTAACGCCAGAGATGGTATGGAACAGGACAGGAGAAGGGGGCCTATGGCAGGCTTGCACTGGGGTCCCCAAAAGGAGGCTGGGGTCCCGAGTGGGTGCTCTGTGCTTCTGGGGGGTTGTGGCCATGCCGCCGAGGCGGTCGGATTCAAGCGGAGCTTCTTGGGGCTGATTTTCTCTCCGGCTTCAGTGACATTGAAAACGGTG